TGTAGAGTTTGAATGGGTTAAAACGGGTACAAAAGTGATAATATTCCATATAATCTCGAAGATCCACTAAATTTGATGAGTTGAGGGGGTGGTTGTAATTATCCAAACAAGAGGGGTGTTTTTGTAATTTGACCATACCTCAGGGGGGTGTTTGTAATTTACCCATGAATATATTAATTAAAATAAATAACAAAATAGCTTCTGATAAACTTTCTGTGGTTTTGCTTGTCTAAATTTTTGATAAGATATGATTCCAATAGTACCACATAAATAATGAAGCAGATGAGTAAATTTTATTTTTTTTGGTTGAGGATAAGAATGTTTTATTTTTTATTTTTGGTGAAAAAGATGAGTATATTAAAATATGGTTGAATTTATGTCAGGTATATCATAAATATTTATTCACACATATAAATAAAAATATTCATGTTGGTGTGACTAAATGGACCATAGTTTTTATTTATTTATTTAATTCACACTTATTAAGTAAGTAAAGGATTAACATGGAAATTCTTCGAGGATAGTAAAGTAAAAAAGAAAAAAGAAAAAAAAAAGATACAAATTCTATTGAGATGATGTTGTGGGGCAAATTGTACTATTGTGATTTATGAGAAATTGGATTTTTTTTTTTAATAAATGAAACCGTAGCCAACTTGTGTGCATTTTCTTATAATGGCTTGTAAACTATACGATGCACGTAAACCACACTAGACTAATCATGTGTGACAAGCTTCACCTAGTGATCGTTGATAACGAGATATGAATCTGGTCAATTGACACCGGTTCACTTGCTTTAGCTTGTAAACTATACGATGCACGTAAACCACACTAGACTAATCATGTGTGACAAACTTCACTTAGTAACCGTTGATAACGAGATTTTAATCTGGTGAATTGACACCGGCTTACTTGCTTCAAGTGGAACTTTAGGTCATGGACAAATTGGATACTTTTGATATCTCTCTCAATCTCTCTCAACTTTTTATTTATTTATTATTATTATTCTTTGAACTTTAAAAAGTTGTTCGAATTCATTAAAAGCTAGACTAGGCATTTTGGGCCTGAGGGAAGTGAACCATTGGGCCCAAATATTGTGGTTACAAAATTATGTTAAGCCCGTAGTGCTGTTGCTTATAAATTGGGCCTGCACCATATAAACCCAGCCCAATATAAACTGAATAAATAACATGTAAATAAAGGACAATAATAAAAAAAAAAATGGATAATTTCGAGTATTCATCAAAACATATGCTTCTTGGATATTTATGTCCAAAGTTTATTAAAATTAAAAAATATATATAAACATCTAATAACCACTAAATATTGACTAATATTAATTAAAAAGTTATATATTAATTATGCCCACATTTTATAGATAAATGTTGCACAATTTATTTTCTAGCCATTCTTAATTGATTTCATGGGAAATTCATTATTCAACGGCAGTATAAATTCAAATATTAATATAGAAAACTATCATACTATTATAAATTTGATTTTTAAAACATAACATATATTGTTATAATAAATAAATTAATAAAATAAAGTTTGTTTAAATAAAAAAATTGAAAATGTTAAGATTTGCCGGCTAAATGGCTAATTAATCAAATCAACTCCGCCATGACATAAATCTCACCTAAAACTCCAAAACGACGACGTTTTAAGTTGAAAAAGTAGATTAAAAGACAATTAATTAGCGCAAAAACCTCAATTTACTTCATTCACCAGAAATCTGTAAACATTGATTTGTACATCGACACAAAGGCAGAATAACAACTCGAACAGCAGTAACACAGAATCAGAAACCAAACACAACCGATAACAGCACAAAGTGCTCTGATACAAATTAGATAAAAACCCCAAATTAATTCTCCAATTTTCTATTCCCTCCAGTTCCATCAGATCCACCTCCCCTGCTGGAGTAGCCACGGTCAGCGCCATAACCGCCACCGCCGCCGCTTCCACCACGGCCACCACCGCCGTATCCACCCTCACGTCGGCCGTATCCACCGCCGCCTCCACCAGATCCACCTCCATAACCACCACCACCGCCCTCACGACGGCCGTAGCCTCCGCCACCACCACCACCACCACCTTCACGACGAGGTCCACGGAATCCACCACCGCCACCACCGCCGCCGCCACCTCCACGGGACTGAGCCTCGTTGACAGTGATGCTTCTGCCGTCGAGATCCTGACCGTTCATCCCCTCGATCGCCTCATTCATTGAGTGCTCATCTTAGAATGTAACGAATCCGAAACCCCAGGATCTTCAAGTCTCGCGATCGTTAATAATATTCCCGAACCAAAAAATCACAATCAAAAAAAAAAATCAGATCTAGCAAATATTCAATCCAGATCTGGAATTTTCATTTACCAAAATAAAAAAAATAAAAAAAAAAAGCTGAATAGCGACAATTCAATCTTCGACCCTTTTTGTGAGAAAGAGGAAGACGGAACGTACCGTATCAGGGGTGAGGTAAAAGAGTAACAGTAACAGAAACAGTAACAGTGGTAACAGAGTAACAGTAGTAACAGAGTAACAAGGTTAACAGATCAGAGAGAAACAACGGGTCGTATCAGATCTCCGCGACAAACAGACCTTTGATTCAATGACTTCGCCGAATTGCGAAAATGCCTGCTCCAGTGACTGATCGGTGGTGGCCCACGCCAATCCACCGACGAAGCATCTAAATTCTACATCTGCGGCGGCCATTGCTAACTTTATTAATTAATTGGGCGATGAATACTAGAGAGAGGAGAGAGAGAGAGAGTGAGCTGATGAAGAATGTGAACGGGGAATTGAGGGGTTTATATAGGTGGAGGTAGCTAGGTTTTGGGGGTGTGATAATGGTTAGGTTAAACCTTGTGCCGCCGTGAATTAGGGTTAGTTGACTTAACCGTGGTTAGTATTCTCAGCAGATATTTTCTTATGTGGACCATGCCCACGTGAGGATTGATCCATAAGGAACGGAGATATGTACTGAATCAATAATTAAATCAAAAATATCTACATCCACCAATCAAAATATCTCAATCGGGGTTTTCCGATTTTGCCCTCGCTTTGTAAGATCTGATTCAGATTTCTTTCTTCAAAAAGAGTCTTTCCAATATTTAATATATTAAATAATTGGACTAGTACTAGATACGGGCATATTCCTTTCAATACTTTTCATTTTTTTTTTATTGTAATTAATGTTAATTTCAATAATATTATAAATTAATAAAGGGGCTCTTTGAGAAAACCCCCTCATTATTTTTTTTATTTGAGGGAGGCCCAAAATATTTTAGTCCATTTGAGAAAAGTCCACACCCATTTTCAGCCATTATGCTTTCCAGCTTTGTCCCCACCCGCCACATCATCACTGGGTCACGCTCAGCAATTTTTTTTTTTTTTTTTCCGTTTTTTTTCTTAATCGACTATGAAGCATAGTCGATTAAGCCTTAATCGACTATGCTTCATAGTCGATTAAGGAAATTATTTAATTATTTAATTTTTTTTTTGTTTTTTTAATTTTTTTTTCTATATCAGGTGTATTAATCGACTATGATGAAGCATAGTCGATTAAGAATCTGCTACTAAACATAACAAATTACAACTGCGAAAAAATGCAAAATCAACTATATTTTTGAAAGAAAAAAAAATATACAAACGTTATAAATGATTTATACAATTGAAACAATAAACAAGAAATCCAAAAAAAATAAAAAAAACTGGAGTCGATCAACCTTAATCGAATACCAGAACATAGTCGATTAGCTTAATCGACTATGAACATGTACATAGTCGATTAAGGTTTCAGCCACAAAAAAACCCAAAATCGGCCTCCACATCGTCCCCACACCACCCAGAGCTTCTGCCATGGCCGAACCCGTCATATTTTGAGCATGTTCAGCTCCACCAATTAAGAAAACTAATTTAATTCTTCTCGCTACGTTCATTAGCTTCTCACACCACCGCCGGACCTCCACTTGCAGCAGAGGCCGCCGCCGTTGCCTTCTTCTCGTCTTGAAATTCATCACGAGCCGTCTGCTAATTCCAAGGACGACGACGCCGCCGCTACCACCAGCTCCGGGGGTACTCCCTCCGCCAACCGCCGCCCGCGCGGCCGTCCTCCGGGATCCAAGAACAAACCCAAGCCCCCAATTATCGTCACGCGCGACAGCCCCAACGCGCTCCGATCCCACGTCCTCGAAATCTCACTCCAGCAGCTGACGCGTGCGCGGAGATGACGGCGGCGGCGGCGGCGGCGGCGGAATCCTCCTTACTCTCCTGTTGAGCTTTCTCCTGTTGAGATTTCTCACTAATTTGTGTGTGTGTGTGTGTGTTTTTATGTGTGCGAGAGAAAGAGGAGAGAGAGAGAGAGAGAGAAAGAGAGAGAGAAGAGATAAGAGTGAGAAAGGGTGGTTTGGGAATTATTAAATAATATTTGGGTAGAATATTAGGTAAGGGGGTTTTCTCTAATTATTTTTGGGAGGGGGGTTTTTCTTAACTCATTTACCTAGATGAGGGGGGTATTGCTAATTATCCCATTATTAAAATATATATATTTTTTTTAAACCAAAATAGATTATCAATGTGACATTTTTATCAATCAAGCTCAAACACAATATAAAATTGGAAAATAAAAATCAAATAATTTCGAACAAACGTTTTGGGCCTCAAAAAGGCCCACAAATTGGGAGTAAAATGTTGTGAAAATGGTCTCACACTCGGTACCATTTGACAAAATCATATAAATAAATAAATAAAGCTCATACAAGCAACTATTACTTTATAAATATTTATGCGTCTTAATTTGTTTCTTCAGTGGACATATTAATTTATATTAATATAAAAATAATCATTTAGATTTATTTTGTTTATTAGAAGAGTTTATTAACCAATAATAACTAAGGTATTATAGATATAAAAACAATCATTCTTTCTTCTGTAACTATACAAAAATTTACCGAAAATTCTAACTCCGGAAAAATTACGGTATCTTGAAGAGCCTTTTCAATTTGAATAGCAAATTCTTTTCGTCTTGAGATACTTCATCCTGCATATATTCAACAAAAAAGGAGCCATTAATTTTTTTTGAAACGGTAAACTAGTAAAATTGAAACGATCTTTAACATTTCAGATACGATACATTGACGAACCTTGTAATTTTGTTTGAGTGCGTCGAGTGAGCTTCTAGAAATCTTGCTCACGAGTTCATCATCGATATCAAAATGTCTGCCAAACGTCTTCTGCTGATCCTCCGAATTACTGCCTACTATCTGTTAAAGTAACGAGAGGACGAAACAGAAAAATTATGTCAACACGAACATGAACTCATTACATTAACATCAAAATATCTAATTACCCTTTGTCCTATCCTATGTAAAGGTAGTAAGTGGAATAAATATCTTCCATATTACAGTTAAGGAGTTGTTTACGATTTAAACGAATTTCCTCAAGATTCTAATAAAACACAAATTACGCTTACACATGCTACAGATCTCGATATCGCATACCTTAATGGCCACACTTTGGCCTTTCTTGGCATAATCAACAGGCTTGTGGTTATTCTCAATCGAAGCTATACGACCAATTTCAATAAACTCCTTTTGAGGGACGCAAATCGGAGTTCCAATCTGCAAGGCAGGACGAGAGTATATTAAAACATCGAATGTTCGGAAATTATCAGAATTCAGAATCAAGATTTTTTTTTTTTACCTTTAGTGTGCCTTCAACGACATCAACTCCCAAAACAATGGGATCCTTCTTATTGAACACGCAGTTCGGTACGATCTTGAGTACACATGGAAAAACTGCTTCTTCAGCAGCTTCTCTCTTCCTTTCCTCCTTGAGATTATTTATGTAAGCCTTAAATTGCTCGAGGAGTTGGTAAATACTGTCGGCGGTGAATATTCTGACTCCGAGCTCGTCGGCGAGTTCCCTAGCCTCTTGAGTGACTTTGACGTCGAAAGCGAGTATCGTGGCGTACTCGTTTATCTTTTCGAGCATGACACTTGCCTTCATCACATCCTTCTTGTGTACCGGACCGATGCTTATGCCCCGGACTGGTATATTAACAGGTGTCTTCAACAACTCCAACAACGCTTCCAACGACCCGAGAGTAGATGCTTGAACATACACTCCCTCGCCACTTTTGTCGATTCTACTCATCACGGACTTCATATCTTCCATGGTTTTGTTTTTTACGTCTTCCAAATCATCGTCCGGCCCTACAACATAGAGACTAGTGCCTGCAATTGCATGCTCCAGGCCCTGCAAATATTAAAAAAAAGGCGGAATGTTATCAAGGTCGGACAAAAACGGGCAACTAAAAATATGAAGTAACGAATGAAACGAAAAAAAAAAATGACCACGTCTACATAGGGAAAGGTATCGCCTAGACATATAGACAGAGAAATTTAACGTTGAAGACATGAATCGGAATTTGAATTTGCACATTGACAAAAAATCAATGACTACTTCCGAGAATATTAGCATCTTTACCAAACAATGATATAAGTCCTAAAATCGTAGGCTGTATGATGCCCATAAATCGTGTTTTTGATCTATGATATTCCATTTATGCCTTTACAAGGCTAAAGAACGTATGAGACTAACCTGAGCAATGATCTTGATACCCTGGGCAGCCTTGATTTCTTTATGATGCAAATATGTTCCCTGGAAAAAAATAATAACAAAACGATGAAAATCCATTAAAAAGGGAAAAATGCTTCGAGAAAGTTACTAGACGAAATAATAAGCAGAAGATATCTCCGTCAAACGGAAATCACATTAATAGAGTATATCTTTATTAACTATTAAAATACCTTAACGCGGAGCTCCTTCATCGGGTGGGGTGTTAATAATGATCTAATTGTGGTAACAATGGGCCCCTGGAAGAAATGTAAAGAAGAATGAGTTAAAAGTAACATAAAAATAGAAATGAAGCACAGTGTACAAATATATAAATACCTGCAAGCCACAAACAACTATTTGATCTCCTTCGTGAAGCACGCCATTCACCAACACCACATCTATCGTTGTCCCATGTCCTTCAATAACTTTAACCTCCAAAACAGTACACTGTGCGCAGCAAGGTAAACAGTAAATTAATAATTTAATCATTCGATTATATTTTTCGCTGTTAAGAAGGTGATAAGAAGAAAGCAAACCTCCACTTCTTTGCTAAATGTAAGTCTTTCAATCATCGTCTTTTGAGTCCATTGAACCAGTAGCAACAATATATCAGGGATGCCTTCACCACTGCCAGAATCACCAACATAGTAAGAAGTTAAGACAATGATAACAAAATATAACAAGTGATGTGGTTAGACGACGACACAAAAAAAAAAAAAAAAAAAAAAAAAAAAAAAAGAACCTTATAGCACTAGTGGGAACAATGTTGAAAGTATCTCCTCTATCTTTGTTCTTGTAATACAATTCGGTATTGAGACCTTGCTCCTTAAACTGTGTGATAATCTATACAACAGAACACTTGCATTAGATAAGGCCAAAGAAATAAGCTCGATATTTATCGTGAAATAAAAGAGATAAATATAACCTGAATCAGCCTGTCGTTAAATAGCATTTGGACTTGTTTCGATTGTTGCTTCATTGCTTTTGCGATTGGTGCATTACGGCATGTTTTCCAACCGTACAGTCTGTCCACCTGCAACAATACCAAAAATAATAAGCCAAATCACACCATAAAAAAAACGAGGGCGTACATACAACAAAGTAACTAACTCACTTTATTCAAAGCAACAATGAAGTCAGTATTTCTCATCTTCAGAAGATTGAGTGATTCAATGGTCTGTGGTTCCAAACCATGCATTATATCGACAACCAATATTGCAATCTCACATAATCCCGACCCCCGCGAACGCAGATTGGTAAAAGATTCGTGTCCAGGTGTATCAATCACTAACAGTCCGGGTACATTAAGCTTTGCATCGGCTTTCAGTTCCCTAGTTCTCTCGCGTATGTTCTCAGCAGGGAAATAGGTCACTCCAATTTGCTGTGTAATCCCACAAGCCTCGCCTTCTTGAACGTTAGTACCTCTTATGTAATCAAGCAACTTTGTTTTACCAGTATCAACGTGACCCATAATACAGCAAATCGGAGACCGGAGTTCATTCTTATCATCAGAATTTGGTGATTCCTCCTTAGGAACTTGTTTGATATTCTTCTTCTCCTCGATAAAATCACGTGGCTTGGTTGTAATAGAAGCTAGTTCAACATCTTGAGTTGCATTCCTCGAATTCTTTATCTCCTTCGGTTCAGGCTTCGTGTCAACATCTTCATCTTCAAATGCACTTTTACCGGGTAATTTCAAATCAGAGTCATCCCAACTATTAGCATCCCACTCTTCATCTTCTTCCTCATCGTGAACTCCATTCTCTTCAACTAGATCAACAGCGTCAGAATCACGTGCCAGTGAAAATTCATGCTGGATTTCTTTTGAATCTGTGATCTCGACATTGTCCGAGGCGGATGCTCCATTAGGTTGAGCTTGTTGTGCCTTTGCCTTTTTCTTCTGATACAAAGGTCGTTTGGCGGAAGGTTCTCCAGATGGTAACTGCAGGCCACCTGCATTAGCTAGAAACTGCGTCCTCATCGCCTCCCTCTTACGAACTTCTTCCTTCTGCTTCGCCGTAAGAATCTTCCCTTCCTGCTTTTTCTTCAGAAGTTTCTCCTTCTCCTTTTCCCTCTTCAAGCGCTTTTTTTCTTCCATCAACCTCTGTTCTTCTTGTTCTTCTTCCACCCGACGCTGCTCCTCCTCCTCTTTCCTTTGTCGCTCTTCCTTTTCCTGTTTTTTCTTCTCTTCAGCTTCCTTCTGTTTGGCAAGTATCTCCCTGACATGCTTCGGCACTTTCTTACCCAGTACGTTGCTATTTGTCTCGATTTTGGTTTCTTCCTGCTTTTCATGCGCTGCCTTCTTCTCTTTCTCTTTATCCTTCTTCTTCTTCTTCTTCTTCTTCTTCGATGTTACGGACCCCACAGGTCCTTCGTCTTCATTCTCCTTGTCAGCATCAGCAGCCTCTTCCAGTTCACCCCGGTGCTGTACCACAGTTGGAGCTGCAATACAAGTCGATTCAGGTAGTACCACACCAAGTTCAGCTAGAATTTTGTCCAAATCGTCTTCTTCATCACCAGTTTTCCCACCCTTGTTCTTCTTCTTCTTCTTCTTTTTGTTCTTTGAAGTATCTGTCGGATCTTCACCTGTCTGCTTTTTAATTTTGGAATCATCACTCCGTTTCTCCGGTTCAACAAAATCAGAAGATGCGTCACCATTCCAAATTTTAGACGACTCATTTGAAACGGAAGCATCCTCCCCGTTTTCTTCATCGAGCACAGCTGCACTAAATGAATTCCCAGAAGCCTTGTTCAAACCCTTGGATGACTTCTTCTTCTTACCTGTAAACGTAATTCCAATATCCTCGTCTTCCTCCTTGGAACTGTCATCCTTGTCTTTACCGAGCAAATCGAAAGCAGAAGACACACCACATCCACTCTTCGAATGCTTTTTCTTCCCAGAAAACGCAATCACCGGTGAACCTAGTTCTTCATCATTATCATTCCTTCCATAATCATTTTCATCTTCATCTTCACCCAATAACTCGAAACTCGAAGCACTAAAACACGCGCTCTTTTTCCCCTTGGACTTATTTCTACCATCAAATTTGATTACCGGAACATCATAATCATCTTCCACTTGTTCATCCTCATTATTGAGATCTGTTTTCATTTGTTTACCAAGTGGTGCCACCTTCGATTCCGGAACTAAAACAGAGTACTCTGATAATTCAGTTCCAATTGAGTACTCATTATCGTCAATAAGAAATCCATTCTTCTTTGATTTTTTACCGCCCATAGAAGTACTCTTATTATTTTTCAGTTCCACATTATCTCTCCCCATTAAATTATTTCTACGTCAATCCCACAAATAGTTCAAATTCACCAAAATTCCTGCAAAACCCCAGTTTCAACACACAGAAAAATAACACCTGAAAACCACCGGAATTCTGGGAGAAAACAAACATTTTTTTTCCTCCGAAATTATTATAAAAAAAAAAAAAAAAAAAAAAAAAAAAGCATGTAAAACGAACACCACACAACAAGTACAAACAATCACATTCGCAGTAAACCATTAATCAGTTGGTAGAGATGATTCACCTGGGCAGTGGGGGTTAATATAAAAAAGTAATCGTAATTATGGCTGTGTAAATATATATATTTCTGATAATTGTTTATGAATGAATATACAAATACGTAGAGAGAAAATTTTGCTAGGGTTGAGTTGAGTAATTGGATTTCAACACGGGGGACGGGTATTTATAAGCATGGCCATAATTACGATTGTAAATTGTAATTAAGAATGTTATTAACTTTGGTAAGATTCAAATTACTCAAAGCCCAATGTATTTAAATTAATTATTAACTTCCCTTCCGTTGGATTATTTAATTTATTTTTATATGGATGATTAAAAAGGAAAAAAATACAATTTTCTAGGAATATCTTTTTCATTTTTTTTTTTTCTGAGTATATTGAATATGGGATAATAGGAAATAATTTTTATGTTTATTTTTTATTTTTAAGGGCTAAGTGCACTTTGCCCCATACTTTGATTCGTATCGCGCTTTGCTCCCTAAACAAAAAAGACATTGCACAATCATATCTGATTTTCAACTGATGACAATTTTACATTTTTCATCATTGTATTTGATACTTTATATTTTGTTGTATAGTAGCAAAAAATGATGAGCGGCATGGCATCTCTTTGTAGAATTTTTGACTTTCTTATAATTCGAACAATGTTTTAGTAATTGACTGATTTTATTACATACCCTAATCTTTAATCTATAGATGTATCTGGACAAGGATTGAGCTTGATGTTCAGGCGATGGGCATATGGTTTCTTCGACCCTACACCCGGTGAAAAACACCGGGTGGGTCTTCTGCTGCCACGTGTTCTTTTTTTTATTTTTCTAAAACCCCTAAAGGTAAATCCTAGCGGGGAATCTATTATAAAATACAAAAAAAAGACACGTGGCAGCAGAAGACCTACCCGGTATTTTTCACCGGGTGTAGGGTCGAACAAATCATGGGCATATTCCTTCCAATACTTTTCATTATTTTTTTTTATTGTAATAACTATATTTTAATTAATGTTAATTCCAATAATATTATATTTATTAAAATATTATTTTGTAAAACCAAAATAGATTATTCTTCCAACTACTCACGAATTTTAAGAAAATTGTCTTCTGCCCGGCCCATTATCAATGTGAGATTTACTAATCTCAAGATCTATATCAACCAGTCCAATATAAATACGGCCCAATAAGATTGTTATCACTATCGAAAATACGAAACTTTGTTCAATATCGATTTTTATCAAATCAAGCTCAAACACAATATAAAATTTGGGAGGAAAAAAACTAAGAAGTTTGAACAAACATGTGTTCAATTCATTTACGGTCAAGTTGAAGTAATAGATTTACATTTTGAATCTCATAATTAAAACAATTTTCATATCATGTCTTATTTTTTTTTATTTTTTTTTATCGTAGCTTGAGCATGATTCCATGTTCATCTTAATTAAAACTCATTCGAAAAAGACTTGACTAATTATCAAACCGAACTCAAATGCAGCTATAGAATTTCCGTAAAGTTCGATATCCAAATATTTGTCAATGTATTACACATGTTTTCGTACATCTTGGGAATCGATTGTTAAATGCAAAATCCACTCGGTACGATTTGACAAAATCATACAAGCAACTATTACCTCATAAATATTTATGCATGTTGATTTGTTTCTTAATTTTCTCCCTATAACATTAGCTCCTAATCTTTAATGGACGTTTACTATTTTTCTCCAAATTAGGAATTTAAAAACCTAGCATAATTCTTGTTAATATTCAGTATGCTAAATGAATGAATGTGTATTGTTAGGATTTTTTTATCAATTAAAGTTGTTAGCAATTTAAAAACAAAATTCTAAATGAATTTATAATAATTTCAAAACTATGTTTTTCAATAATAATTTCAAATTATAATTAACATATAAAATTGCGTTTTTTTCTTTTTTTCGTGAATCATAAAATTGGTTATTATTTGGTCATTATTAATTGGAAATAAGAGTTTAATCAAACAAAAAAATCATTTCAATGCATAACCCATATGTACTTTAATTGTTACAATTTTTCATGAATTTATAGGTTGATATAATTTCAATATCTAGAGAGAGAATTATAGACTACAAAAAAAATAAATTTCAATATATCTAATCAAACATTATTTGATTTAAGAGTTTTTTCAATTTAAATATCAAACAGCCAAACATCTTCTTGGCAGATTATGAGATCTCAGACCCCTAAGCATAACTAGTGTGGTTTTGATAAGTCATTTGTGACAGCCCTCCACCCTTTCTCACGGAAAGGAATCAGAAATGAAAACTCATGGTGATAAAGGCCTCCCGTGTGAACGAAATCTTGCCTCATTGACTGTGTTAGCTTTGAGTCCTAAGCTTTTCATTTCTCCGAGACACTTTGTTGGGTATCCGCCCGGAGAAGACAAACCACACAAAATCAAAACACTCATATTCTATTAGAAACAATTAATCAACACACTTAATTAATAATTAAATTAATGAAAGCAGCTTATATAGACAATCAGCAACAGACGTAAGCAAAATGTGAAGTCACGTATCCACAATATTTTATTCTAAATATTAATGCCCAATTAACATAGAATATAATATAATTTATTTAATGCTGAAAAATGAATAGGCTAAGGGTCAGGAACAGAACCAAGCAATTCACACAGAATTGCGAACGATAAATCTCCGACGGTTGCTCCGGCGGTCGTCAATTTTCCGGCTCAGTCCTCAATCTCCAAGTCCTCGTCCAAGATCCAAGTGGGGCCTCCAACACTCACGGCAGCCACACACACGCACACACACAGTGTACTCCAATGGAAAAATAAAGAAAACGAAACCCAAATTCAAACCCTAATCTCACCGGTTTATCCCTAAAGAAGTAAGCTCGAATTCATTGAAAGAATCGAGCTTTTCTTCTCAAAAAAGGGGTTCTCTCTTTCACTCTATTTTTTCCCTCTCAAATACACAAAGTATTTTCTCGACTCTATTTTTCGTCGTCTGTTTTCGTCTCTTCACACAGAAAAAGAAAAGGGTGCACTTATACGCCCAAATCATCCACCAAATTCACGAAGAATTAGGTAACAAATCACCAAGATTTGTTGAGAGAAAAAAGGAGCAGATTAGAAAACAAATCTGCTGGGAAAAACAAAACACCGATATAAGAAAAAAGAGGTGAAGAGAGAGAGAAAGGGAAAACCTAGTGAGATTGGGCTGACTTTTAATTTTGGGCTCAAATTTTGTGGGCTGCTCGTAAGTGGGTTGCAAGGTGGGATTTTGATGGGCCATTCACAAAGAATTCATTTGGGCCACATACTCTACAAATCTCCACCTGGCCCAAATGGATCATCGGGACCCTTTTAGGAGAAACGAAGTCATCATTGCCGTATGACACTACCTGCACTCAAAACACAAAGTTAGTACAAGTTTAAAAAACAAAACACAAAGTAATGCAAAAAACAAGCAAAACACAAAGTAATGCAAAAAACACTAGCAAAACACAAAGTAATGCAAATGACAAGCAAAACACAATGTAATGCAAACACAAGCAAAACACCTAGTAGTGCAAAAACAAGCAAAACACAAAGTAATGCAAAAAACAAGCAAAACACAAAGTAATGACAAATAGAAAAATCACCCTTTCCATCGAAAGGAGCTAAAGATAACATAGACATAGATCCCATATTCCAAGTATCACAAAGATAGCAAAAATCACAAAGATTAAATATCAGCGGGATCAACACACAAGAGAATCACAAAGATTCAATAAACTTTAGCAAAATCGAATCACAAAGATTCACAATTTTTCAAAAAATCACACAATTATAGAATCACAGAGATTCACAATTTTTTCAAAAAATCACACAATTATAGAATCACAAAGATTCACAATTTCAGAGCAAAAACGGATCACAAAGATTCCAATTTTTTTTTTTTATATTTATGGTGTTTTCAAATATCACAAAG